ATGTCAGTCCTCTGTTTGGCACTTGCAGGTAAGAACTCAGATATGTCAATAGGTCATGAAAGCCATGGGGTGAATGCAAAGACTCAGCTAGATGAGCAAGGGCACTGGGGTAGTCAGAAAGACTTTCTGGGAGAGGTGATGCCCATACACTTTAGTAGAAAAGTAGGAACTAGGGGTGGCAAAGAAAAATCTTTGAACAGAGGAGATAGTCTGAGCAAAGGCTTGGGTACAAAGAAGGTAGTATGTACAGGAAACTACAACCCACTTTAGTGTCACTGCAGCTGGAAGGGACAGATAGGGAGGGAGGATGCAGGTGTCCTGTTGGCCATCCCAAGGAGCACAGGTTGGCCTTTTGTTTTAGGTGGGTAGTGACCGTGATTTGTTTTATTTTAATAAATTGGTTTTAAAAAATGTGTTGGAGGCGGGACCGGATGGGCAGAGGGAGGAAAAGGCAATTGCTTGATTTAAAAAGAAAAAAAGTGGTGGGGGTGGGGGGGTTCTACAAGGATTTACTTCTAAGGCAGGAAGGCCATGCGTGGGCAGTCAGAATGACACAAGTAAATAGGCAATGGTCTTTTGAGGAGCCAGGGACAGCTACTGGAATTTGGGTTTGGTTATGTGGGTGCACACACCCCTTTATTCCCTTGGAGGAAGGAGGCAGAGTTAAAAGTGGAACCAAACAATAGTTTCTTCTTTCCTTGCTTTTGGGTTCCTTTCCCCACACCTTTCTTTCTTAGAGTCCTTTCCCTGCCCTTCAGCCAGGGTGGGAAGATCAAAGCAGGAGGTATGGACCCTGATATGAAATCTGCATCCCTGGTACAGATTGGGGTAAGGACAGTGGCCTCTTATTAAATGACTTCCTAATCCTTCAGTGTGGCCTAGAGGAAAGGTCTAGCTCCACCACTTAACCACCTCGGTCGGTTAACCTTGGGAAAGAACCTAATGTTTGCAAACCTTAGTTGCTCCATCTGCCAAATGGGGCTCTCAGTTTACCGACTACAGAAGATAATCATACTGAGTAAACAAGTCTGTTTAGCCTAAGTTCCTCCTACATGCCTGAGTTCATGAGCCTACAGTTAATGACGGTCTTACCAGATTGTTCTGCTTTGGGGTGTGGCGTTGAAACGCAGGTCCTGTTTAAGTGTCCATATTCCTAGAGAAAGGACCATCCGCTATCTCAGCATCCCTATTTGGGTGGATGGGTGAACTCTTGCCCCTTCCGTATTCTAGCCTACAATGGGGTAAACTTGTTAGGTGTTTTTATTGTGTCCTACCCCCAATCAGGTGCGCGCGCGCGCGTGCGTGTGTGTGTGTGTGTGTGTGTGTGTGTGTGTGTGTAAGGGAGAATGGGGTCGTCTTGCTTAGCGGGAGGTGGGGGGTGTAGTGCTCTGGCCTTCTGGACCCCGCAAGCGGCCGGGCCGAAGCTCCATGTGTTCCCTAGACCACGTATTTCCATCCCGAGGGGCACTGGCCAGCCTGCAGCGTGGGACCGCTGGGCGCTGATGCATCTCCGGGCTCCCGGAGAGGGCAGCCGGGGCCCTCTGCTGGCGAGCGGATGTCGCGGCCACCCTGATCGCTTTCCGATTTCAAGGTAGAAAGCGGCGCTGCGTGCAAGTGTCGTTGAAGACAAGCCATTGAGGGGAGTGGGCCAGGCCGGGGCGGCGGCCCGGGGAGCACTCGCACCACTAGTGGGGAGAGCGTGGCAGTTGGGCTGCGGGGCCCACAGGGTGCTCACCTGTTGGTCAGGGAAGCTGGGAAAGGGGGCCGCAGGGGCGGAGCCAGGGCACGACCAGCCAATGGGGAGAAGGCGTTCAATCGAGTGCTACATTACCCCCGGAAAGTGGAGGGGGCGGGAGCCCGGAGAAAGTTGGAAGCTTCAGAGCAACGGAAGGCCTTGGCGGGGGCCGGAGTCACCCGGGCAGAGTTGGGAGCACAGGGACTAAAGATGCCGCCCTGTCTGCTTCTGCCAGGAGCGGCAGGCCCCGCCCCTGCTGCCTCTCCCCTGGGCTCTGCTGTGACACCTGCTTGCGGTCCTCGACTGGACAGCGCCCCCTACTGGACTTCGGCCCCCACGTCCGGCGTGACCGGGCCGAAGCTCTGGAGGCTCCCAGCTCTGGGAGCTGCAGGGAGGGGAGTGAGCTGACTCACCTTGGATCCAGTAGCTTTGGAGCTGAAGACAATGACATCTTTAAAAATATGTGATGGGTTCAGAAAGACCTATGTTTGTGAAAATAACTTCTTGTCTTGCCCCTTCCACCCGGCCTGATCCTTCTGTCACTCAGTCTCACCCAGGAATGAGGAAATGGTCACAAGGCTGACCCAGGAAGGGGCAGCAGCAAAGGGCAGGAGTTCAGGAGTTGCCCACAACACCTGGTGACAACAAGGCACAGCTGGAAGCAGTCTTGGGTTCCTTGTGGCCACAGACTGTGGCAAAGGAAGCAGCTGCCTGCAGTGTTATATGAGAAGTAAAAAAGCTGTGGGAGTCCCCAAGTATGGGCTGTCCTTCTCCCTCCCCTCTTACCTGCTATAGCATAGGGCTGTAATCCCTATGATTAGATACAGGACTCATTTATTCTTTCAATAAACATTTATTGAGCACCTACTGTGTGCCAGGCATTGTGCTAGGCGCTGGGGATACATCAGTGACTAACACATAGTCCCTGTCCTTGAGGAGCTCACAGTCTATTGGAGGGGAAACATACACATGTAACTAAGGACCTACCATGTGCTTAGTGCTACAGTAAGAGGTATTTACAAAGTGCTGTGGGAGCCCAGAGTGGGGAGTAATACACCAGCTGCTGGGGGCAATGACTCCATTAAACCATCACAAAGGCAGGGATGTTGTTGCCACACGACCCTGGTCAAAAGAAACCTGTCTCCTGAAGTTCTCTGGCCCTCTCCCATAACTATATCAGCACAGGTTAGTTTATCATATTAGCTAATTTAACACTGAGTTAGGAAAGAAACTGGACAGGGACGTTTCTTTAGGAAGAGGACATTCAAAGTAGTAACGACTCAGGTGTGGAAGCTGGGGGTCAGGGGGCCATGAGGCCACTGAGCCCAGGGAGTGCAGGGCAGTGGAGCGCCTGGGGTGAGTGCCTGTGCAGAGGGGAGGTCAGCATCACCTGCCTCAAAGTTTGGTCCCCATCACTCACCAGCTCAATCAGTAATTGCTGATGCTCACTAAATGCTTTGTATGTAGTGTGCCCTGCTCTATGGGTGATATAGTCACCCACTCCTCAGAAAGAGGAGACTAAATAAGTCCAGGTCATTGAAGATTTAAGTAACAGTTTGTGATTATAAACAAGAGATGTCACAAGCCGTTTGTGATCAGTTGCCAAACGAGTGGTAATTGCTATAAGTTTCAAATAAATAACTCAGGGAAGGCAACTTCTAAGAACTGGGTCTTGAAGGATGGATAGTATCCAGTTGGTACTCACAAGGTGGGGGGAACATTCTGGTTGAGCAGAACCAAATAAAGCAAGAACACAGAAGGGGGAAACTTGAACAGAGGCTTGTTCAAGGGCCAGTGAGTCGTATCAGTTTGGCTGGAGTAATATATTGGGGGTGGGGAAGCAATGTGAGAGATGACTGTGGAAGTCAAATGGGATCCGATGGTGAAGGACCTTGCTGGAAGGCCCAGGACTTGAGACAGGGCTGATGATAAGCTCAAAATACTTTGGGAACTACTGCCCTGAGCCCTAAAGTGCCCTCCCACCCTTCCTCCAGGATCCCTGGACTGCCTCACGATTCAACAAATTAAGGGTTAATGCCCAGTTGCCCAGAATGAATTAGAGGTTATTCTGAGTATCACCTCTACCTGTAGGCTATGAGGGGCCTGTGAAGGCTTTTTAGATCAGAATTGGTACCCTGGCAGATTGGAGGGGACAAGACAGGTCACAGTGGGGCTCTGGATGTGTCTGGAGAGGGGGATAAGCTCTGGGTAGTTTGAAGCTCTGGGAACGTGTAAGAAAGGCGAGATTTGAGAGACATGGCAAATGGCACTGGACTTCAGGAGATGGGGGAGGGGACAGGGTCAAGTGAAGGCAACATTCGGATGGCTCTGAAACGTTGAGCTTAGGCAGAAAAATGGTGACGCCATTAACCAAAATACGCAAGTCATGACAGCTTTTTTTTTCTTGGAAAGGTTTTGTTGTTAATCCTCACCCGATGACATTTTTTCCCATTGGTTTTTAGAGAGAGTGGAAGGGATGGAGTGTGGCGGTGGGGGTGAGAGAGGGGAACATCAATGTGAGAGAGACATCTATTGGTTGCCTCTCACATGCACCCCAACCAGGGCTGGGGATCAAATCTACAACCCAGGTACATGCCCTTGACCAGGAATCAAACCCATGACCCTTCGATGTATGGGCTGACACTCTAACCACTGAGCCACACTGGCCAGAGCAACTTGGAAATGTTTTATGTGTGTGTGGAAACTTTCAAAATTGACTTTTGGGAGAGGGGCTGTCTTTGAGGAACTGGCAGGCGTCTAGGTGAAATGTCCAGCAACCCCCTGGACATGTGAGCCAGGAGCTGAGGAGAAATGTAGAGGCAGTAGCTCTAGATTTTGGACTCATCCCTAAACAGGTGATACAGAGCCAAGAGCATGGATGAGACCTTGGGGGGATACCCACACTGAAAGGGGTAGATCTGGAGCCAGCACAGCAGAGATTGGTGACAGAGGGTCCAGTTGAGCCGGGCTAGTGTGGGAGGTGATGGGAAGTAGGGTCACATGCTATGAGGGCTCATGAGGGCCAAGAGCTTTGAAGACATTTGATGTCACCATGAAAATATCAGTGACCTATGGAGTTGGGGTGAGTGGGACAGGGCCATCCCTAACCCATGCAGCATCTTTATGCAAAAAAAAAAGAAATATTTAAGGTCACTTTTTCAAAATGCTTTACTTTCCACCATCAGGAAATTGTTAAAATAAACTGGTTTATTAGAAAAAGGCACTTTAATGCCAAGTGCTGAAGATGTGTAATAAATACACCTGCACAACTGTATGTAGTTCCCTCCTGGGGAAAAACAAGAAGAGTGGGAGAGGACGATAGTAGGCAGTGAACAAAAGGAGAGAGAGAAGAGTAACCTGGGGAGGTAGTTAGATCAAGTGGATGGATTTGCACCAAGGACATAGCAGAGGTCCTGAGGCACTGATTCACATTAACCAAATTCACCAGATAACAATTGTTTCTGAGACTGACCTGTCTTAGCTCTTAGCTTTGCCCCTACACTTGGCAGGAGTGAGGCAAGCTAATGCAAAGAAGGGAGAGGGAACGAGATCCAGGCCCTAGGTGAGGAGTTGACTTGAAGAGAGAATCAGTTGACCCTTCCTCAGAAAAAGGGAAGAGGGAAGCGAGAAGCCATAGAGAGAGAGGAGAGAGAGGAGAAGTGTCCTGGGAGCTCACATTCACTGGCTCCCGTCTCCCTGGTGAAGACGGAATCAGGGTCAGGTGTGAAAGTTGGAGAAGCGGGGTAACGGGCCATGTGAATGCCTGCTGCAGTCGTGGTGAGAGAGGGTTGGTGCTGACAAACTTAGGAGGTGAGAAGAAGGCTGGCTGGGGGGCAGGCACGCACGAGCAGTAATGGAGGCAGATCCAATCTACGTTGCTACACAACTATCCCAAGCAATGCCTGACAGCAGGAAAATATCAGGAGCAAAATTACTCAAGAGGGAACCCAGGATTCGGGGTGTAGGACAGGTGCGAAGACTGGTCTTCCAGCCCCAGCCCTCAGTGCAAACATTATTAATTCAGCCCTGCCTGGGGACACGGTGGCTGGGTCTAACCCTGAAGGGGCACTTGGCCCCCGTCTAACCCTTCAGTACACTTTTCTGGGGTAGTCAAGGTTTCCAAGCATGCTGGCAAGTGACTGGTGGGCAATAAGGCTAACTCCAGGAAGAATGCCTCAGTCTAGGCTGGGGGGCTGCTTCCCAGGGCTGAATTCCCTTTCTTCTCTTCATGCTTTTATCCCTCTTGGCCTTCTCCCGTCCCTTAGAACGGTAGTTGCTCCAACACACACCAATCGGAGCTCTTCTACCCTGGACCTGCCCCAGCTCCGTGACATCTCTCCAGATTCGGGGTATCCAACCTGCACCCCATAGCCTCAGAACAACTGAATCTTGGTTTGTGCAAAGGGAACTAGAGAATGCTTTTCCTTAAAAGAAATCCTCATCTCTGCAGCTGATGCACAAAGAGACACATTCTTGAAGAATTCACAGCTGCACCCTCGTCCTTTCCAAAGAAACGAAGATACAGACCCATAAGTACACACAAATACATACCAAGATATTCACATATGGGATAGTAACTTCCCTGCTGAGGGAACATAGATGGTGAAACATGGCCAAGCAAAAACAGATGTTTCTGTGAAGCCCCTGCACCCGCCCTGGCCACCAACTTCTCAGGTTGTTCCTTCATCACCACATCAGTCCATTACCCTGACAAAAGTATATCCCTTAGGGCTCCTGAAGGCCATGGTTTGATGCCAGGGATGCTCAAACTGAGCATGGCTTGGCCATGGTGAAGTCAGGCAGAGGTGAGGGATGGGGAGTCTGGTGTATTGACATTCCACTGAAATGTGAGGGCAGGTGAGCTGCTGGAGTCAGTCTCTGCTAGATGCAGTCCATACGAAAATGCTTCTCAGCTTTGCCTGGTGGGTCACACTTCCCCGACCCCTCCATTTATATGTTATGGGGCTCCATCTTAATGAGAGAAGTGGGGTTGAATGGGGAGAAGGGGGCTGGGGTTGGGGATCTAGTCAGTAGGCTTCCAGATGCGTTCACACTAGGCTCAGCCGTAAGCAGGGACCCTGAGCCTGAGGAGAGCTCAAGTTCAGCCACCGGGGTCAGCCCAACAGTGGGGCGGCTGGGAGGAGAGAAAGTCTGGTTTCCCAGAAGGCTCGGGTTGTGGGAGCCCCTTGAAACCATGTGGGTTGGAAGTGGCTGAAGGTGAGCCTGATCCCTCAGAAGCTCCCTCAGGGTTTCTTCAGGAACAAGTAGCCCCTCCATGGGGGCCCCAGACACCATGCCCTGCACATATGAGGAGGGTCTTAGTGACCTATCCTTGACCCCAGGGGCTGCTGTGGCACCGGAAGTCCTGATGAAGGCAGCGATGACAGTCCCGGGAGGCTGAGAGCTGGGCCCTGCTGCTCCAGCCCCTGTGACAGAGGGTGCTGTTGGATTGGTTGAACGGTTGGCCCCAGTCAGAAGTTGGGGGAGGCCACTGAGAATCAGTGGAGTCCCTGGTGCTGCCACCTGGCTGTCTTGGAAACTGCTGTTCAGGGGGAAGGAGGCCTGCAAGGTGAAGGTGTCCTTGAAGGTTGAAGCAGGCGGAACACTCTGGAGAACAAGCTGGGTTGAAGCAGTAGTACTGGCAGGAGGGCCATTGGTTAGCACTGTGGTCAGGGGGAAGGTCTGCAGGGTCAAGGCCGAGGCTGACCCCACAGGGGCCACTCCTAGGTGGATGTTGCTGGGCACTGAAGAAACACTGAGAAGAAACAGAAAACAGATTTGGATAAGGCAGGAGGCATCTCCCAACTTGCTAGAAAAGAGGGCACAGGAGGAAAGGAGCCTACGGTGTTTCGTTTCTTTGTTTTTGTTTCAGCTAACATTTATTGAGTACAGAGAGGTTGTGCCACTTGCCCTAGATCACACAGCTACTAACAGGGACTCACATCTAGGCTTTCTGACTCCATAGCTCATGTTCCTCACTGCTCCACTCTACTGCCTTTTCTCCTTAGAAGAGCACCTCAGAGACTCATGCCAGTGTAGTGAGAGCTACGTACTTAACCTAGACAAAACCCAACCTTTTTAGAGAAAATTGGAAGCACTTAGCATGGACAAGAAGTATCAAGAGCTTTCCAGGTAGGTCTGGAGGGCCCGAGGAAAGCGGGTGTCCCTATAACATTCTCTGTTTTTTTGTTTTTTTTTTTTTTTTTTTAATCACTGGAGGACACTTTTGCATTCATATTCAGGGAGAGCGAGAGGGAGAGAGGGAGGAAGAGAGAGAGAGAGAAACATTGATGTGAGAGAGACACATCGAGTGGCTGCCACCCACACGACCCCCACCAGGGCCGGGGACAAACTGCAACCGGGGTACGTGCCCTTAGTGGAAACTGAACCCGGGTCTCTGGACCGCAGGCCGACGCTCTCTGTTGTTTCTTTTTGGAGTGGGAGAGGCCCAGATGTGGAGGCCCATGTTGGCTGTTTGGGGAGCCCTCTGGGGTAACAGGAACAGCCCCAGCTGGCGACAGAAGTCTGCCAGGTGAAGCACTGGCTTTGCCATTACTTTGGTGTGTGACCACGGGCAAGCTGTTTTTTATTTCTTGACCAAAAACTGTCCTACTGGCTTCACAGGGATTCTGAGAGGGTCCCATGAGGCTGGACACATGGCAGAGCTTTGCAAGAAGTTGAAAACAGCCTGGCCAGTGTGGCTCAGTGTTTGAGCGTCGACCCATGCACCAAGAGGTCGCCGGTTCGATTCCCGGTCAGGGCACATGCCCAGGTTGTGGGCCCGATCCCCAGTGGGGGTCCTGCAGGAGGCGGCCAATGGATGTTCTCTCTCATTGATGTTTCTGTCTCTATCTCCCTCTTACTTCCTCTCTCTCTAAAACCAATAAAGGAAAAAAAAAATTAAAAAGGAAGTTGAAAACTGCTCCCCAGCTTCAGGTACTAAGGGAAGACTCATAAAGACTTGGGTGCCCTTACCTCACAGCTTTGGTGAGTTTGGCATGGCCCTCTGGTGGAGAGACAAGCACAGTGGAGGTAGTGGGGGTCTCCTCATCTGGAGACAGTCCCAATTCCAGACTTGCAGATGGCTGTAGACTAACATGCTGAACCTTAGGCTTCTCCCAGGGAGGGCTTCCCTTGCCCTGGGGAGTGGCTCTGGATGACACCCTGGAGCTGGCTCGTCGGGCAGTGCTGGTGGAGGGGGTGGAGGCCTTATGGGATGCCTCTGCGATTTCACTTTTCTCGTCCTCGTCTTCAATCACCACTAGGTCCTTGGGCATCTCTTTAAACTGGTACACCAGCCTCTGCCCTTCCACTTTGGCAAGGATGCCCCTTTGGTAGTAATATCTGAGGAAAAGGGTTGAAGAGTTAGTTGGGGACACACCACCCTAGGGCTGGCCAGGAGCCAGATGGGAGCTCAAGGACAAGGGCAATGGATAAAGCCAACTCTTGGCCTTGGAGAGCTTTTATGAAATTCCTGAGAGCTCCTGAGGACTCAAAGGATCCATGAAAAGGGGTTTCAAATGACAACCCCACCCTGCTTTGAGGCAGAAGGCAGGTGGTGAGTGAAGAATGGGGGAGGATGGACGGATGATTGGGGTGGGGGGTTCAGCAGTCTTCCAGCCTGAGACACCAGCTGTGGGTTACTCTGGCCCATCTCCCTAGATCTCTGGCCTGAAGAATGTGAAGCAAGACCTTGGGGATGGGAGGTCCTAAAATGCTCTTCTATCAAAAAAGAAAAGGCTAGAACAGAGCTGCAAGAGGGAGGGAATTGTTCCTTCCAGAGGGGAGCCTGGGAAGTGGGCTTAGGGGCAAACAAACGGTAATGTTAGGAGACCCTACAGCAGGAGGGCTTCCTTGCACATAGGAAGAGTTTGGTGACCCCCCAGGGCAGAGGCCCCCAGCAGCTCCTACCTTAGTGCCCTCCCCATTGTCTCGTAGTTCATGTCAGGCTTGTTTTTCTGCTTCCCCCACAGCTTCGACACAGCTTTGGAATCCACCAGCTTGAAGATGCCTTTCTCTCGCTGGGTCCACTTGATATACTTGGGGCAGGTGTTCCTGTCTTGCAGAAGTGCCAGGAGGAACTCCCACAGATAGATGGTGTTGCCTGAAGAGAGGGTGGGGAAGGAGGAACCCCCTAGAACAGTGAGGCGTGACCCTGCAGGGAGGCAGGATTGCGCCCGATGCCCATGCAGGCCTCCTAGGAAGGGGAGATGGGCTCTCACTGGATGAACCCACATTCACTGAAGTATCCCCCACGGCCCTCAGTACCAAAGGACTCCTTGAAGGTGAGGGCCCAGGCACCCCGGCGCCTTTCCCACCTCTCCTGACTCCCAGCTATACCTTTGCCATCCTTAGATTTTTTCCGTATGGGGATGCTGGGGTCAGTGACAGGTGAGGTACTGCGGTTGCCCTTTGTCTTCCGGACTGTGAGGAGAAGTTAAGAGCAGGGTGAAGCTGAGACCATGGTAATTGTGCAGGCCAGGCTCACCAGAAGGAGAGTCTGGAGATTATCAAGTTGGGTGCGACAAGGCAGACAAGGAAGAGCCCAGGATCATTCTCCTTGGTCATAGCCCTCAGGTATGTGCACCTGCCCATTGGTCTGCCCTCATTTTCAGGCCCCGAAAGTAGACCAGAACACCACTACGACGTGGGGCAATGTAGTGCTTGCACATGAGTCATCTTTAAATCAGAATCCACTTAGTCTAATTTTTTAAATGAAAAGGCAGCCTAAAGGTGTGACTGTTGTGCAGGTAAGTGTGACACCGGGGTTTTGGTTGCCATGCTGATGAAGCAGTATCAACCAGCCATCACCCGAGTAAATCAGTAACACTGGGGCTTGGGAAAGCCCAAAGTCCTCTTCCATATATGGCTTCGGCTCCATGAGCTCCTAGTAGAAAGATAAGCATGAGAAGCATACAGCAGAGGCCCCCAGGGGGCCAGGGACTGGCCGAAGGCCAAGCCTGGTGTCTGAACACCCAGCCTAGGATTCAACCCATTGGGATCATTGACAGTTCTGGAAGAGTTTACATCTATGCTGGGCAGAAAGGAATGGCCTGAGAAATGTCAGGCTTTGGACAAACTGATGAGGCCAGGTTTTACCAAAGAGAGGCCTTTTCATCCACTCCTGCCATGCTAGAGCATACCAGAGGGCTGTCTTCTTAATGTGTCTCTGGGTTGTGACCCACTCACTCCTATGGTTTCCATGACTGCCCCTCTCCTACCACCCACCCCCTTGAACACACACACACACACACACACACTTCTTTCTCTCTTACTTCTCTTCTTTGATTTTCCAGTCTTCTTGGCACTTTCCTCTCTGGGGACCTTCTCCTCCAGAGAATGCCCCTCCTGGTCACCAGTGTCACCAGCCCTGTTCAGGGCGTTGGGCTCAGAGACAGGAAACAGGTAGTTGGGAAGAGTGATGGCTGGAGCAGGGTCTGAGTCTGGAAGCATTTCAGAGGTGCTGACTACAAAAGAAAGACCAGCGCAGAGTAGGAGCACGGTCTCCCAGTGCTCCAGAGAATGGTGGGCTCCCGGGGAGAGCAGAGGTGCCAGTCTCCTCAGCCCCAAACGTAGCAGACACCCGCAGACACCTCATGTGTCTTGCACCAAGAGGAGAGGAAACATCTGCAGAACTGTGGGCAAGAGCTGGCTCCGTTCACGGCCGCCACATTTCGAGCCCACTGCCAGTAGTGGGGAAGTTCCAGGCGACACCCAGGGTAAAGGGCCACCTGGATTTAGTTATTCACTCATTTTTCCAACTGGAAGGGGCCTTAGAAATCATTTAGCCCAATTCCTCTGCTTTCATGATGAGAAAAATGAGACCCAGAGATGACAGGGCATGTGCCCAAGATCACACAGCAAATTGATGCCTGGTACATGTAGACACTCGGTAAATATCTGTTGAATCATAAATGAATATTAGTGACTGTATCCCAGTGTCCCTTTGGGAAGGGGCAGTTAAGGCCAGGAATCCTCCTGTGGAGTCAGAGCAAATGTCAGAGGGAGTCCTGGAGGAGAGTCACCCTGGTTAATAGTATTCAACCTTAAAAAGGAAGTAGACTGTGACATGTGCTACAACATGGACAGACCTTGAGGACATTATGCTCAGTGAAATAAGCCAATCTCCAAAAGACAAATACCATATGGTTCTACTTATATGAAGTACCTAGAGTAGTCAGGTTCATAGAGAAAGAAAGTAGAATGGTGATTGCCAGAGGCTGAGGGGGAGGGGAGGGGAGTTGTTTAATGGATAGAAAGTTTCGGTTTCGCAAGATGAAGCATTCTGGAGATGGATGGTGGTGATGGCTGCACAATACAAATGACATAATACCGCTGACCTGTACACTAAAAAATGGTTAAGGTGGTCGATTTTATGCGTATTTTACCACAATTTAAAAATTGGGATAAAAAGTCATCCTGGCCACTTTTCCTGGTCTATGGTGCCTTCCAGCGCCCTCCCATTGCAGTTAGAGCTCAAGAGCAAGTTTACGTGTATGTCGGTGGGTATGGGTACATATGCCTGCATGCACATGGAGGTGATCTTTTTAAATGGTGTGTGTTGCCTTGAAGTAAGGTATTGGGGTTCACACTTACATATCTGCTTCTCATCCAGGATGTTGTTGGGAGACTCAACATTGAGCAAGACTTCAGTGCTTGACCTGGTTTGTGTGGTTGCTTCATTTTCATCTGGTTTCAGATTTCATGGTAGGGGGGAGAAGAAAAGCTCTCTTAGGGTACAAGGTAGGGGGTACAGCCATAACCAAGGCCCAGAGAACAGGGCAAAAGAACCAAAGGACAGCCTGGGAGGGAACCGTGCACATCCCACCCTGATCCTCCACTTTCTCTTTACATCCGTCCCAGCTACCTCCATTCCTCACTGCCCCCCTCAATCTCAAAAGATCATGAATTCATTTAGATGGCTTCCTCTTCTACCTTTTCTTTGTCCTAACTGCCCCACCTCACTTCCAGCTGCTGAAGGCCATGCCTTTGGTGCATGTGTCACTATAAGCCACTGTGTGTGGGCCACTGTTCCCTGAAGACAGACCCCTTTCTCCTCCACACCTTCCCTGCCCAGGAAGGAGACAGACCTGCCAGCATAAAACTGCCCTCCAGGATCTGATCCTGTGTCATGCACAAGGTCCTGTCCGTTATGATGCCATTGTGAACGTCATCCAGTTCCAGTCCTGAATACAGATGCAGTAATTCGGGGTAGGGTACCTGCTCCACGATCACAGCTGGGAATACTGAGGGGTCTTCCAGCTGTGGAGAAGGGAGGGATCTGGTTCAAAACCCACCCACCTCTTCCAGGAAGCCCCCCACCTACCAGAATCTGTCCCTTCTTGCAACTCCTAATTCTTAGAACCCCCAAGAGCTGTCCTTTGTATAAGATGACATTGCTCTGAGTCCAACCTCACTAGATGATGCTGTGAGTGAATTTTTAACTAATAGAGATGGGCTAGCTCTGTACCACCTGCATTCAACCAAGGGCAGACACTTTTAATTGGTTGTAGTTATGGGTTAATCCATGGCCAGGGTCGGTGCTCAATCTATGGCAAGGCTTAGGCCCATTCTGAGGTCAGTGGGAAAGGATTAGTCAATGGCATGGGTGAGGGGCTCAATCTAGTCAGGTGAGGGACTCAGCCTACAGTCAGGGTTGGGATCCGAGGGTTAAGGGCTCAGATTGTGGACATCTTAGGGCTCAGTCTGTGGCAATGAAGATGGAAGAACAGAGGCATTTCAGAGGTAGAAAGCTAAGGGCTCAGTAACTAACTGGATAGGGGAGAGTGTTCCAATTTCCAGTTTGATTCAATGGGTGCATGGGAACACTGTTCATGTCAAGGGGGGACCCAGGAGGAGGAGGAGGAGGAGCAGGTTTTTGGAGTAAGATAAGGGGAACAGTGTCTGGATATGGTGAGTTTAAGTTATTCTAGAGATATTTAAAATAGAGATACCTTTCAGGGAGTAAAAAATATGTGTCCAAGAGCTCAACAGGGTAGTTTGTCCCTTGGAGCAGAAAACATGATCAGGAGGAGAATTTGACCCCTGTAGGACATAGTTGTTCTAAAACCAAAGCTAACTAAAAAAGGTGTGATTACAATTTTTATATAAATTATGTTTAGAAGGAAATATACCAGAATTGTCATAATGATTATATTTAAGTTCTGGGACTTCCCCCCTTTCTTTCTACTTTTCAGCATTTTTTCCAATTTTCTTTCATGGGACTGTTAATTCTTCATAGAAAAATAATGAGAATGCTCAGTTCTGCCTAATATCCCTGAAGGATCCAGAATAAAAATTAATAACATGCCGCTGGGTTTGGCCACTGGGCAGTCACCCTGGTTAAACCAGTTTCAGGGAAGTGCTAGAGTCCCAAGGCTCATTACCATGGATCGCAGAGAGGACAGTCTGAGGCAGGCAGTCAGGTGTAGTGATTACAGCCCATACAGTTAAGAGCTGTCTGTCCAATATGGTAGCCACTAACCATGGGTGACTAGTTAAATATAAATGTAAATTTTTTTCAAGAATAAAAATCAGCCCTGGCCGGTTTGGCTCAGCGGTTGGAGCGTCGGCCTGCGGTCCAGAGAGACCCGGGTTCGGTTCCCGCTAAGGGCACGTACCTCGGTTGCAGTTTGTCCCCGGCCCTGGTTGGTCGTGCGGGTGGCAGCCACTCGATGTGTCCCTTCACGTCGATGTTTCTCTCTCTCTCTCTCTTCCTCCCTCTCCCTCCCGCTCTATCTGAACAAAAAAATGGAAAAATGTCCTCAGGTGAGGATAAAAAAAAAAAAAAAACAGAATAAAAATCAGTTTTTAGTTGGGCTAGCCATTGTTCAAGTGCTCCATAGCCACATGTGACTAGTGGCCCCATACTGAATAACACAAATATAGGACACTTCTAGCATCTCAGAATATTCTACTAGATTGTGCTGATCTAGAGCCAGACTGCCTGGGTTTGAAACCAAGCTCTTCAACTTACTGGTAGTATGTCCTCGGGCAAGTTACCTAACTTTTCTGTGCAACATTTTCCTCATTTATAAAATTGGGGTGATTATATTATTGAACCCATAGGGTTAAACGAATCAATATGTATAAAGAACTTAGAACAGGACCTGGCACAAAGTAGGTTCTCACTGTTTTAGGTATCAGGGACTTCTAGGGGACTGGTAACATTTTATTTCTTCACCTGCATAGCGAGTTCATAGATGTTCATTTTATAATTATTTTTAAATACACACACACACACACACACACACACACACGTGATTTATGCACTCTTTTGTATTCGTGATACAAATTTTTTTGCAGTAAAAATTGTTTCCTAAAAAGAGTGAGAGAAAGGAGGAGAGAAAGTAAACACAGAGGGTGGTACCTATGCTGGGGAGAAGAATGGCACTAAGAAGATGGTATTTTGAAGCAGGTGGGCAGAAGAGAGGGATGGTTTTCTTTTAGGGCTGGGGAGATCTGACTATGTCCTAAGTTGAGAAGAAAGGTCTGGAAGGCCTGAAAAATATAAGAGAAAGAGAGGTGATCAGTGGTTTGAGGTCTTGAGGGAGGTAGGAGAGAAGAGATTAGGTACAGGGCCAGGAATTACCCTTGGAAGGAACAGGGACAGTTCTTTTTCCCAGGCCAGTGGAAAGGAGTTAAGAAAGTGGTGTTATCATTAAAAGGGAGGAGGGATGGCAACTGAGGGTGTCCTTGGCCTTGAGCTTCTCTGTGGATTGGAGTAGAGGCTGTCTGCTGAGGGTGAAGGAGTACCTGTGGGGTTGGAAGGTATGGGCTTGGGAGCTTCTATGAACAGGCACTATGAAGGACAGAAACAGTTGCTAAGCAACTAGAAACAAGTAAAAAAATGACCAATAGCATTGAGAACCCAGGTAAGGCTAGATTTTCTTGCTTTCTCCTCTAGGCACTCCAGGTGTTCAATAAAACTGAGCAACTTTAGATAAGACAGACAGGACAGAAAGTATATTGTGCTCAAAGCCCACTAGGGGGCAGCCTTTTGCAGTATGCTAGAGATTGGACCAAGTTTTCCATCTTCACAAGGATTTAGGATAGAGAGCATCAGAATTAGGCTGAGGTGCCCTTAGATCCAGCTGGATCTCCTCTTGGTGAAGATGGGGAGATGGCAGCCAGATAAGGGTAGGGAACAGGACTTGCCTAGGTGACACTGTGGCCAATCTAAGATCAGAACCCAGGACTCCTGACTCCTAATCTTCCGTTTCTTCTACTGTACCTGGCTGCCTCTTCTCTAGTTTGTGGAAAGAGGGGAGTGGAGGGTGGTGATGAGTGTGCCAGGACACTATCCGATGTGTACAGCTAAGTGCATTGACAATGTTCTCTCTTAGCCCTAGCGCAGGGCAAGGTACGGAATGGGGAGGACCTGCTTTCCAACTTCCTCCCACCAGAAGACTCCATTTCCAGTTTATCCTAAATTTCAGATCAAAGCTAAAAAGATGGTTATGAAGGTTCATCAACCAGGCTAAAGACATGAGTCTGAAGATGCCGGGGGTTGGACTCTGCCCTGCAGTTCCAGCTGGCAGTGCTCACTCCTGCTATGTCGTTATCCCAGCAACTTTCTCACTGTGACACTGGGGATGAAGAGAAGTGGCTGGAAACGAATACGAAGGTCAGCGTACAACTGTGCATTCAACCCACGTTGTTGACTAGCCAACAGCTCAGCTGGTATACTTAGCAGCTGCTTGGCCGACTTAGTGACTGCACGTGCCCTGTAATTGCACATGGGCAACCAGCTCACTAAATGACTGCCTGATGATTACTGACTGGCTGCATGAGTGACTAGCTGGCACACAGTCTGGCTGGCAAGCAGGCCCAGTGCCCTGAACCTAGTAGGTGCTTGATCAATATTTGCTGACTGGCTAACCAGCCAGCCGGCTGGCTCACTGGCTGTCTGCCTGCCCGCCTGTCTGTCTGTGTCTATTTGATCATCCGCACTGGCTGACGGAGCCCCAGTCTTTGGGGGCTGTACCTGGTGTATATCATCCATCCCGTTGCTTGCAAACTCAAAGATCAGGTCGCTGGGCTGCAAGGTAATAGCCATGCTGTCTTCTCAGAGCTAACAGCAGGATTCGCACGGCCCTCTGGAGCTGCAGGGTTTTCTTGATGAAGAGATGCAGCTCAGGTACCTTGAAGCTTAGAGCCTACACCCGGAGCCACAGGAGAATGGGGATGTAGAGAGCTGGAGTACGTGGTGGCCTAAGCCACGTTCAAGGCTGCATGCTGGGCTGGGCCAACCGCAGGAGTGACCTAGAGAGAAGGGAGAAGTGAGGGCACTGAGTAATCACCTTCCTGGAGCTCTGTTCCCAGGACATCTGGTGAACCAGAGAGACCCTGCCACACCAGGGCAGGCTGCCAGAAGATGGATGGCTAAAAGGGGAGGGCAATGGGAGAAGGGGGAAGGAGAAGAAAGGAGGCAGGTAAAGAAAGAGGGCAAAAGGAAGTTAACTGAGTCACTTGCAGTGGGAAGTGGCCAAGCCCCAGTGCCAGTCTCAGCCACCAGCATCTGCACCTAAGCTGGCCCTGAAGATAGGCAGCCTCCCTCCATTCCCTTCTCCACTGCCCAGGAGGTGACAGGTAGAGGGACTTTGGTCTCTCTCCACCCTGAACATTAGTCCCCAGGGTGTGGCCACAGGGAAAGTCAGAGCCTCGTGGATGGGGCAATAGCATGAAAAAGCCCTGAAATTCCTTTGGCTCAGGAAAGAATCTTGCGTGAGGGGGTGTGGGTGGGGACACATGGCTGTAAAGGGTGGTCTTCCAGACTCTGCCTTGGCTCAGTTTACCTTGGGAGTCACTTAGCTCTGAAGGGCAGAATCTCGAGAGGAAGAAATGTGCTGTGAGGCTTGTGTTGTTCGCCTGACCCTGCTTATGGGGATGGGACTCTCAGACACGGCCACACCTCTAAAGAGCCTGGAGACGGGGACCGGTGAGCTCACAAGCTCTGAGTACTTATCACCAACCATCCCACTAGCACTACCTACCAGCAGAGAGATGGCTTCTGTGCTGCCTGTGGGCTTGTGTTCTTAGTTCAGCTTTGCTTTCAGTTTCAAGACTGAACTGTCACCCTGGGAACTTGTGAGGAGAGCCCTGGTTGGGGGAGGGGACCAAGGAACCTTGCCCATCCTCCAGGGCTGGCTCAGAGGCCCTCCTTTTCCAGGAAATCTGTCTGCTGCAGCCTGCACGTCTCTCTTCTCCTTGAATGCCTCTCATGCTAAGTCTGTACCTCAGGCATTCACATGGCACCCGGGCCTCCAATTGTTTCCTGTGCTTGCTCTGCTTGTGCGTGTTGTGTAGGGTCCCACCCATGCCTGCTCCCACATCCCTCCTGCTAGTCTGCTCTGCTTCTCTAGCCCTGAACAGTTGGGCTTCTCCATTTCCAGGTGCCCATGTCTTTGGCCCACTGTGTGTGTGTGTGTGTGTGTGTGCACGCTGGGTCTACAGACAGCCTGGTTAAACCATGAGTGTCTGAAAAACTGTGGCCATGCACTATAGTAGGAGCAACACACTTGACCCCTACCTCCTCGACACTCCTTTGGCAGTGCTAAGGGTGGCAAAACCTTCTCCTGGCTGGAAAGAAATGAGGAACTTCAGAGAGGGGCAAAGTGGAGGAAAGGGAGGGGGACCACAGATGACCTCCCTGATGACCGCTCTCCCCCGCAGGAGACACCCAGGCCTCTCCCACTTCCTTTCCGTTAGCCCACAAGGCTGGCTCCACCCTCTCCCCACCCCTATTCTCATCCCCACACCTTTCTACCCACCCCTCAAAAAACTTTGAGAAGTCACTCAACTCAACCTGTCAGGTTTGAGTTTCCCTTTGGGTAAGTGACAGGCTGATGACTGCTCGCACAGAGAGGAAGCACAGGGGAAACCATAGTCCTCTCCTGAGTTCCACCCCTCCTACCCCACCCCCACCCGACCCTGCATGTGACCTAGTGTCCTGTGTCCTGAGGAGCCTCCCAGGGCCATTTATGCTTGGAAGGTCTATCTCCCCCAACCAAAGCACCCAAGGCCCACATTCCGAAGCTCTAGTCCTCCCACAGGCCAGCTGGCAGCCCCCAGGAAGCATTCTCAAACTAATCAAATGAAAGGCTATCACTTTCACCTAATCCCACTTTGTCTAAACACAAAACTTCTGAAACTCCTGTGTCTGTTTCCTCTCCCTCCAAGGGCCTGGGGCCTTCAGGTTTGCTCATCTCTTGGGCTTCTCCTCACAGGTCAGTATTTCATGTTTGCGAGTTCAGCACCCCTGACCTCAGCCTGTGGAACTTCAGTGCATCTTCCCTGCCTCCCCCATCAGACAGTGGCTTCCTTGAGGACAGGGATGACTATGTTAGTCAGTGATGAAACTTTAGCATCTTGCACTGTGCTTGGCATGTAGCAGACACTCAGTTTGGGTTTGTGGAGTGAATCAATCAATGGCACTGGTCATTCCATACAAGTGAGATGTGTTTTCTGGGCAATAAGTATATCTGTTTGTATAATGGGTGTGGGGTGGGTGTTGTGTCCTCTGGCTTATACAAGAATGAGAGGAATGTGTGAACTCTATGTGCATAATACCTATATTTTTTCATTGTAATTTACAATGGGAGTTTGCTGTATGTGTGCAAACACACAGTAGATATATATGTGCAGGGCATGCCCAGGTGTCCCGAGTGTGGGGACATGTGTGTGACAGCCTCTGTATCTTAAGGCTACCCTGCTCAGGCCATTAGGGCAGCAAGCTCAGTCATCGCTTCCCCACCCCAGCTCATGCCAGCTCATATTGGCTGTGGTGAAAATAGGGGTGGGCTGCCGCTGCTACTGCCCCCCTCAAAAATGCAAAGTTCTATGCTTTCCAGGGAGAGAATGCCTGCAGAATATGTATGTGGCCAATGGGTCCTTGGGGTGAGCCCCCCAAGCTCCATTCTGCTAGGGAGGTATTAGGAGAGGGGAGGCAGCACAAGGAGGAGAGGTTTGAAATAAAAGAGACTGATCCAGTTGCCCTCTCTATGTGTCCACATGTTTAAGTCTCTAAATTAAGGACTTGGTTGGTGCATATCCCACTGGTCCAGGGCTGTAAGTACTGGGAGGCTGTACCCAGCACCCACAGCTGATCCTGAGGTCTCGTTCTGCCCAAGCTGAGCCTGAGGTGTAGGGGGGCAAGTAGCTGTCCCATTTGTCCTACTCTGTTGGCTGAGGCTAAGATAACCCCCGCGCCCCAACCAACCATGGAACCTTCCAGTCCAGAAGTTTCGTTCCTCCCCCTTCAGATGTTTGAGGATTTGAAAGTGAGAGGTGGAGAGAGGCTCATTTGCATGCTCACTCACTCTCCCCAGCAGAGGAGTGAACCACCTCCCCAAGTCCCTCAAAATAACCTCCCTCTCCTAGGAACCTGAAATCAAAGAAGCCATCACCACAGAAGGCCCACCCTGCTGGAGACCACAGAGGCCCACACCAGGGGCTCCCCTCACCAGTGTCCTCAGAGATGCACTGGGACGCAGATTCAACGGCCCAGAGCCCTGGGCACTGTCTTTCCAGCAAATAGGGGGCTGCTGGTGGTGGTGGGGTATACACAGACAGTTGGCTGAAGGAATTGAGGCACCTGGGAACGGACAGTAACTAGTGGTGAATTCCTCCCACCCCACCCCATTACTGCATCAGTCAAAGTCAACCCCCCGGGGTGTTAAGAGCTCCACTCCTTTGACTCCCTTGAAGGTCACTGCAAGATCCCGGGCTCCCAGAGCCCGTTGTACTTGGGCTGAAAGCAAACCCTCTGTGAGAGCCTATGGCCTCTAGACACTGTGCAAATGTGTGAGCCACAGGAGGGAGTGAGCAAGTGAGGGCGCCTAAGTCCCAGGCCTGCAAATGCACACCTCTGGCTCTCTGTGGTTCTGACTGCATTTCAAAACCAAAATATCAAAATAGAAGTGGTTTGGGCTGCTCCTGCATCACCACAGCTGGGTGGTGGTGCAAGCGTAAAGACCCTTTCTGGGGCTGTCACTGGAACACGTTAAGCAGTGTTCAGCACCCACCCATCTGGGCCTCCTTTACAGGAAACAGCTTCTATGTGAAAGCCACGTCCTCAGTCTCCGTGGAGTGAGTTTAAATCTACACCCGTTCAGCTGAACCAATGGCTCTCACCGAACTGCTGGTAACACCCGTGACATTTTCACACACGCCAGGAAACATGGGGGCCAGATGGTCAGCTGGGCCACAAAGCAGAATTCTCCTTCAGTTCCTTGTCCCCTCTGGGCCAGCTCTGGATCCTAAAATACCCAGTCCCCCATGAAACCTTTCTGGAATTCTCTGGAAAGGAAGTGACAATTTCCTTCATGCCATTTCCCACTCCCTCAACACTCCTCCCCCACAACCACAAACAAAATGGAAACTACCTCAGGAACATCTGTACCCTCCACTGAAAAACAGCCCCTCCTCCAGCTAATAGTCATCCAGCAGCAAATTTGCATGCTGCATCACATGACCAGTGGCATGTATTTAAGAGGCTGAGGGCCACAGTTAGGAAGGGATCCAATCTCTAGCTATGGATGGAGCAGAGGATTCCCACACGACCTTGACTCAGACGGCCAGCTGAACTCTCCTCCTTGAGCGAATGCCCAATAAAGGGGCCCCAGCCACAGCCATTTTGTCAGCTCCTTCTCTTCTATTCCTTTATTTCCACCACTCCCTCCATTTGAGATGAAATCCGGAAAAGAGAGGAAAAATAAAGGTTTTGCAAACTCTGTTGCTTGGGGTTTCTCTGTGCTCATTTATAAGAAACCCAGTTTCCTTCCTTGACCCTGGGTCACTGCTTGATTCCAGCATAGGGCTTGTCACAATTCTAGTGGTAAGGCGGGCCCAGAGCTCTTCTCCAGCTGCTCCCAGAACTTTTTCAGGTCCGGTTTTGTCCCTACCTTCCCAGGCCCTAGGCTGTCCCAGTTGGAGGAGCAATTAGGGCTGCAGGAGACTGTAGGCCACAGGCGGAGAGATGGCCCCTTGTCTTTCTGCAGGCCCACCCAGTGTGTGGTGTACCCTTCCCAGGTTGAGGGAGGAGGACAGAAGCCCTCCCTCTCACAGCTGCATCCCAACAAAATGTGTAACCCGGGAAAAGTTAGCCATTTTTCTGGGCTGTGGTATCTGTCATCCTAAAAGTGGGTAAGGGCTAAGGGTAATTCAGGCTTAGCAGATGCTCACCAGGAAGTCTCGGGTGAATGAAGATGGTGGTGGGAAAGCACTTTGAAAATTATAAATTAGTCATCCAGATGATGAGTTGCAGGTGACCTCCAGAGAGCAAGTGAGACTGGGGACACCATGAAGCCCCCAGAATTCCCCCCCCCATTGGCTCCAGAACATAGACAGGATGGGGCTGGAGGCCTCTAGTTTTTGTCTTGGAAGGATCTGGCTCCTCGCCTGGGTTGGGGGCCCCACAGGAAGGGGCAGGCTGCCGTGGTTGGAGGAATGCTCCCAGTCCCCTGTCCTTACCACCTTCACCCCACCCCAGCACTTTGGGTTGTGGTTATGTGGCAATAAGAGCAGATATAAGCCAAATAGGGGAGGATGAGCAGGGGGAGGGTGATTGACAAAGGGAACCTATTTCCTCAGCTGCCCTGACCGCCAGGGGCCTTGCCTGAGAAAGCCCAAAGAGCACCCCCTGGAGGTGCCTGTGGCTACCACATCCTCCTCTCTAGTGCTCCAGGGACAGAGAGGAGGCAGAGGGACACCAAAATTTTTTTGTGTGAAGTGAAGGGCAAGCTAATAAAGAGGAAAACACACTGCAGGAAAAGAGGCAAAGCCATGTCCGGGACAGTTACTGAACCCGAGTATGGGGGGACTTCAGAAGTCCTAGAAGATCATAAAGGCACGGGGATTCCAGCAAAAAGATCCAGTGTTGCCTTGGGGTTTAGGCAGATCACTTCCTCTTCTGTGAAATGAGGACACCTACCCTAGCTTAAAGGGTGATTGTGAAAGGCCAGTGAGTTAACATAAATGAAAACTCTGTTATGTCCCAAATATATTTTTCATTTTCCCAGTCTGATTTATGTCCTTTTGGCCATGGTCACTCATTAAGTACTCAGCATATCTTTACCTAGATGGACAGGAAGGAAGGGAAATGGGGATGGTTGGATGAAAGGAAAACAGAGGGAAGACATAACCAACAACCATACAACTTATGGCAGAGAGAGGAAACCGGCTATGGGGAGGAAGGGAAGTGAGTTGAATAAGTGCATAGGTCCGAGATCCACCCGGCAGCAGAATGTGAAAATATGGAGAGCAACTGGGAGTTACTGTCAATTCTTGAGCAAGGGAGGGGCACAAAGCAACAGTTCTTTAGGAAGATTGATTTGTTCTGATACATGAGTGGAGGAGATGGAAGGAGACCAGGTGAGGCAGCTGGAACCCAGGAGGCAAACGTCAGAAACACCCTAAG